TTCACCCTCTGCTGAAGTGTTAGCATGTGTTTTATTATATCCCATTCAGTAACTCACTCTAAAAAATATATACAGCTATGTTTAAACATGTGAATTTGTGCCATGTTTTCAAAAACATAAAAAAAAAAGGTATTTTTAATCTACTACTACTTGCTGCATATTATGCAGCATATTATGCAGCATATTATGCAGCAAGTTACCAGAGGATTGGTTCAGATACCTAACTTCAATGCAAAAAGTCAACTCCACTAAACCTCTGCAGTGGGAGTAATACTGAGTTAAACAGTCCCACTCCACACACTCAAACATCAGGAAAAAGAGCAATGAATATGACGGCCAACCATTATTTGGTTTACCTCACTGTTTACCAGTTTTTGACAGCTTACAGAACAATTCATTTTAGTGGGAAAAAAAAATCACATTTCATGTCTTTAAAGCAAATATCTTCGTTGTGATTAGAGCTAAGCGATATTCAAACTCTGAAAGATTACAGTGGACACTAATCAAAACTAAATCCTGATGTTACTCCATACTTGCACCCAAACTGCCCTATTTGCTTCACTTTTGTGTGTAACAAAGCACAAAAATATCCTGCAGATAGTTGCTGAAACACACGTGGGCAAAGCACATAGGTCCAACAGAGCAGGGTGCGCACGCAGATTTGTGTCGTACGTAAGTGAAGTGTTTAAGTTCTTTTCTTCAGTTTCTGAAAGAGCAGCTGATCAGTTCAGAGACAAGTTTTTAAACTATCACAACATGCCACAGTTGGGGTCATTTTATGTCAGTTGTGCCCAGGTGTCACCTGTATGTGTACGTCTCAATCTTTTTCTGGAAATACTATGGGCAATTAATGAGGGTTTAGCATTCTTTCTCTGCTTGCTGAAAGACAGTTTAAGTAACATTTTAAATTACGGTCAGTAACATACATAAAAAGTCTTTCACCTTAATTTGGTTTGTGTGCACTTCAGAATTGGTGAGAGTCCATTTACTCCTCCGGAGCTATGTGAAGGAGTTTAGCCTTATTTTGACTACTCAATTCAAGCTACTTGTATGTACATACATTTACTACCTTCCACATCCAAATAAAACAAGACTTAACAATACATAAGCTACTAAAGACATGAATCATGGAAACAACGTAACTACAGATCTACCAAAAAGATACCCTGAAATATTTAAAACATTTCCTGACCACTAACAAAAAAAAAAGAGTGTCAATTAGATGCACAAGGCCATAATGTATCAGCGCACCACACCCAGGGTAATAAAATGTACAGCACTCGTGCAATGCAGTATCATCTTGGCCTCTTAACAGGAAAGTGATTTAGTAGAAAGCTTTGTATGTGCCTAAGAGATGTAGTATAACTTTGTCCAGTGCTGGTGCTGTGTTGCTTAACAAATCAAGTTACTTATGGTCTTACATCTGAAAAGCAGCAGCAGCATGAGTACAGAGACTGTACTGCTTTCTAGTAACAAAGTTACAAGATTCCCTGTGTTATTGCATTTTCTAAAAATAAACTTGGAGATTTGGATTTTTGAATACAGAAAGTGGATTTCCTGAGTAGTCTCAGCTTACAATTCGATCAGTAAAACAAACATTGTAAAAGAGGAAATGCAATATATTTTAATGTAGAAGAATGTGTGTTTAAGCAAATGCACTCAAGTATAAAATGTAGCAAGTTTTGAAGGTGGATACTTACCAGGCTGGTGGAAAAATCTGCACCGTGATGTAGTGTCAAGCTCACAACAGTTGTACAAATAAGCAGAGAATATTGGATTTTTTTTTGTTACAGCAAATCAAAACAGTGCAATAAAACATTCAGCAACTACAGTTCATCATATTTGCTTGTTTATAGTCCAATAAATTCAGCCTGAAAACTAAAACAGATTTTCATAGGTATTGTCTTTCCTAACTAGATTACTGGGTTCTTTTAAAGCATTATACCACACATGGGTAATCTTATTGGTAACGTCCAGCTCGGTTTGGATTAAAATGAGTAGAAATAAAGAAAGGCTGGTCACTCCCAGGTATTTAAATACAAGCATTAGAAAACATAAACATAAATTTTTCTTCTACTTTCTACTTCCAACTGGGAGCTCCTTCTGTATTTTAGGGGGCATGTTTTGTGATTTTAATGCATGAGGAGGGGGTAGACACATTTAAACGTTGCACATTTTTAGTTCCTTTGTACCTACAACTAACTGGAGGACAGTAACTTTACAGGTGAAGAGCACACCATGACCTGCAGCGTTATCCCCGCCAGTTAGGACCCAACCCGGGTTGTCGTGGTTCTTTTATCTGAGAAGAAGCTTTTGAGGAGAAACACCTGCCCGATGCTCACGACCAGCAGGATGATGGCTTCCCCTATGGACCAGTAGGCGACTCTGGTGTTGAGATCCTCCGCTCTGCTGCGGCCTTGTGCTTCTCTCAGACGGAAGTGAGTCTGATAATCAATGACGGACTTCAGAGCTTCGTGAATTGACACACATGCAGACTCCATCTGGAGAGGAAAACACACACAGCTCTGCGTAAGGAGCCTTCAAACAACCGACCTGCCACATTGCTCTGCTGCTTGGTACTTAAAATTAGGATTTGCACAGCTCTACGGGGCCACCATCAGTCTGCTGTCAGACTGAAGTATTACTAAATTTAACTCGATTGATCAAATTCCACACCTATAAATGTGATGACTTAAGTACAGAAGCTTGTAAAACTTCAGATCTAATAAAAAGTGATGCACTAAGAACCACAAGGAGATTTAGATTCATACATGCTTACATTCAAACAGGACCATATATATCATTATACTGAAATATATCTGCAATCCCCCATTTGTTAACTCTAAGCTAGGCAAGCAAGCACTAAGTCTCCTCCCAGACTTAGGTAGCTACTAAGTATTTGTATCGCTAAGAGCTGCATGCAAGTGAACCATGTGAGTATATAATGTAAGTATGACAACCCTTCACACATAATTCTCACTTAAACTCAAGGTTTTATAAAGTCTAGACTACAGATATCAACATGCCCCTTTGGCAAGAAACTCTGCCTAACACCATTTTGTCATCTCTCAGAAGAATCACATTTTGCTTTCTAAAGTTGGAAAAAAAAAAAAAAAAAACAACCCAAAACCACGCTTTTCAATCTCTACATAAATGAATAAATGATCTAGGGCCTAAAGCCAGGATTTTCATCCAAACTTCTTCCATTTTCAGTTCATCCACTACATAAGCCAGCATCCATCACTGCCTGTTTTGAGCACCAAGAAATTCAAGAATGTATCTTCAAAATACTGAAGTTTTAACCAGTTATAGTTAGCTATAAAAACAGTATTTCCTGAAAAGCGAGTGTCTGGCACCCTAATAAGGTGTCTCAGTCGCTTCTATCTGTGCTGAGTTTGCTTTTCAAGTTGCTGACTTTCAAGGAAGGTGTCTGAACGTGTTTAAGATATTCTGAAGAAAATCTCTTCCTGAATTTCTAGACACACGGTCATCAGCAACAGGTCACAGAGCCCTACTCTGAAACAGGAATTTTTAAAATTCAGATGAAGTCAGTCTGGTGTCACGGATTTATGTTTTACAGTCCCTGTAAAAGTCTGTCTCAAATTTGGTCACACTACAAGAAACCTGCATCAAGCACCCGCATTGCAAACATACATTATATCACCCCTTTCCAAGAGATGTGCACTTTTTGTCTTCATAAAACTCCCTCTACTGATATCAAGGTAGAAATAAGTAAATAAATAACCAACCACCCAGAAAAAAGACTCAAAACACAATAAAACAAGAAAACCATTCAGCAAAACACAGAATGAAGACTGTTAAAGAAACAACAGTAAGATGAGGAGCTCAGAAATCAGAAATCAAAAGACAAAAGGCAGGGAAGAGTGCAAGAAGGAAGAGGTAAGATCTGAACCAAATTCACAGCAAATCACCTACTTTTCAGAAATCTTAACTACTGCAGACTTATACCGCATAAATTCAAGGGAACGAAGGTTGATGGAAGTTTGGGAAGCAGCCTTTATACCTCTGAATCCAGGCTAGTAAAACAGCGTCCATGTCCAGCATTTTAAAATGTTGTTTAAAAGGAGGCTTGGTGACAGATTTAATATAAAGAATATTAATAAGAACTCATGGAGCAAGTGTTCCAAGTTTTGATGGATTTAGTTTAGCTAGAGCTAGAGTATAACCACAGAATCCTTAAGAAAGAGGGGAACAATAAGAGACTAAGTTTGGACTAAACATAACGCTTAGCTACTCAGTGTCTTATAAAGCACAGTTACCTAGAAGCCAGCTGAGTATGACTGACTTTGTTCATTTGGGGTTTTCCTCTGCTAGAATTTTCTTCCTATTTTCTCCAAAGTCCAGAAACTTTGAAAACCCTCATTCAATTAAATCTTACACTTTGTAAGATATACACTTACACACAACAGAACCACAGCATTAAAAGGTAGTTCCACTAAATGTGTATGTATATATACTGGCCTACACTAAGTTACTAATCCTTGCTTCTTCTTAAGCACTTGGTACTTCCTTCTCAGCTCTGCTCTGTGTTCTATAAACCTTACCTTTCAGAAAATGTACATTTCCAGTAACTCAGTTTATTTAAAGAAACTCCAACTCGTTAATTTTCAGAAGTGACACAGCTGAACTGTAAAAACAATTGGCTTTGCAGCTTTACCTGAGTAAGCGCAGTTACTCTGTTTTCACTAGGAAACAGAGGAGGGTCTTCTCCAACTTGAAAATCAAAGTACACAGTTTTGTGTGTGAAAGTAGAGAACTCATTGCTGAAGCAGAATTTGTATGTTCCGTTTCTGGATGCAGTAAACGTGAAACTATCATATTGCTTCTTCATCTCTTTGTACAATACAATGCCGTCAGGATCTTCCAACCGACAGTCAACATCATAATGACCTCCAGTGATCACCTGGGGCAAAAAAAAAAAGATCCTTTTATGAGAACAAACATTTATACAATTATTCTGGCGCCGCTCTCGGGCCCTGCAGCATCGCAGCGGCAGCACGCCTCCCGGGGCGGCTCCGACGGCTCTCCGGGAGCAGCATTCCCTTCAGCCCCTGCTTGCTGCCGGCTTCCTGCCCTCGAGACACAGCCCTCTGAAGCACAAAGAGGCCTGCAGCCAAATGCAGGCTAAAATAGGGACGTTTTGTTGCCTCCTTTTGAAACATCAGTGTATCCAAATATACAATGTTATAAAGATTAAATCTAAAGGACAGGGTTTTTGGCCATCAGCACCACTGAAAAGCATTTGACATTATACAGTTTAAACTATCTGCTTACCTAAGTACTACTTGTTTACCTAGGTAAGCTTTAACACACCTAGTTCAGTTCACAACTGATTTCTTTTTTTTTTTTTTTCTGGGAACAGGATAACGACATACCTCACATCAATGATTGATGTCATGTGCTAATAATTGATTGATCAAACAATTAAATATTTGGGTTTCCTGACCAAAATGCCTGCATCTACTATTGTTTTTTCCCTCAAAGCTTTTTTACCATAAAATAAAGATTATTTCATTGCAAGGAGGAACACAAGGGAAGGAAGGAGGG